GCGAAAATAAAGTATTCTACAGTATTTAATTCTAAGTAGGGGGGGGGGGTCGTTTTGGAAGGCTATCTGCTGATTTCTACCGCACTGTTGCATCACAAGATTTCACTGAGATCTTGTCTCATGTCACAGAAGCTGCTTGCCTTATCTTTATCCGCCCTTGCTTGAAAGTAAACAAAAATAGCTTGAGAACTTACTAGCCCAGTCATGCTCTTGAATTTCACAGCATCATTTTTTTTCTTGAAATTTCAGTTGAAAGCTTTAAAGAAATACAAGATAGTTTAGCTGTTCCACAAAACAACAAAAATGGAGATGAAAGAGTTGTTCTCTTTCTGAAGATGGAGTCAGACTATGAATGCAATGATGAACTTGTAAAGAGTTTGAAGAGTACCATCAGAACCAGGTTATCTGCCAGGCATGTTCCTGCCATTATAAGAAAAATAGACGACATTCCGGTACGACTTACTTTCGTGTTTTCCAATTTTGGTAGATTTTATGTTAATACTTATTTGAGAGGAGTCAAGTGAACATTCCATTATTGCCAAGGGTCGACTGGACAGTTTAAAATTGAGAGGGGTTGACTGAACAGTCCAATATTGTCATCACTGTCCCGAATTGCCCCACTCCTGTGACATAAAATTCCCAGCCGACATAATTTCCATTATTTTTATTTCCTTATTCATGCATCGCTACAATTGCGAATACCAGATTTTGCAACGTTTGACAACTAGTGTATTGGGTAGTATTATCAACAACTTTGAACACATATCTAATGACATAAATACAAACTGTCCGCAAAGAGCAGTATTGTTAGCCAGAAAATGGGAGTTATAATGGGAGGCCACAAGTGCGAGTCATTAGTCATTATTACCTTAATAGTCTAGTCTGGTTTGGTGCACTATGGTGCATAAGCAGTTCATGCAGACCAGAAACAATTTGAGTTTGGGTCAAAACAGTACTAGTTTCATTCAAATTGTTATTTTTACTTTTCAGTATACGATTAGCGGCAAAAAAGTGGAGGTAGCTGTGAAACGAGTGATATCTGGTGAGGATGTCAAAGTTCGTGGAGCGTTTTCCAACCCAGACTCACTAGATTTGTACTGTAACCTTCCTGAACTACAGGGATATTGAAATACCAATTGTCGGGATAGCGTCAATTTACTATAATGGACAAAAAAATAGAGCGTTGAACAGATTGAAATACGACGTGATCAGAAGACTACCCCATAAGTCTTCAGTATTACCGGTATATTATTATGATCTCAAACATATTCATTCATATGTTGTATTTGGGTGTATATTTCAATGCTATTGCTACTGTGTCAACAAATGTTTCACTTACATGTATAAGTACAGTGGCCCGTCACTAAGTCGCAGGTGTCGGGATCCAAGCAAAATTTGTGACTTATCAAAGGTCTCACTTACTGAGGCAACACTCAGTGAGGGGTCACTGTATTCATGTCTACTTTTTGTCCAACCACTTATTTAATATTTAATAAACAAGTTACACGGTTTCTTATGATGTTGAATGTAATTACTGTACTATAATAGATGTTTCCATGGCAACATTAATAGTACTGTATGTTAAACATTGTATAATTATGTGAATGTGAATTTTAGGAAAAATTTACTTAATAATTGTGCTTATAAAGATACATTTTTTTATTTTTAAGTCATATTAGGAAAGAAAAAGTGTGCTATCCATGATTCATAGAGTACAATTTATGTGGATGACACTACTCAAAAATTATATTTTTGAGTAAATAAAAACATAAATTTTGAATAATTTTGTCAGAATATGCATGATTTTTTTCTACCGAAACATTTGAGCAAATCTAAAATTTCAAGGTAAATTTGGGAAAGTTACAATTATTTTAATCATTATATATTCTTATTTTGAAAGGATCAAATATATAATTTGGATATTTTAAAAAAATGAATTGCAAAAAAAAAAATCATTCCAGACTTTCAAATTGGTCACCTCTGAAGATGTGCTTAGGTGAAAAGAACTCTGAAATAAAAGGTTGAATTTTGAGGAAATGTTATTTAAAAAAAAATGTATGTACTATATAGAAATATGGTATAATTAAATATGATCAATGTTTTTTTTTTGGTTATTTTTTATTTTCCTTGATGGCGCCACCTATGCTCAAATCAATAATACTTTTGTTTATTATAGTTTGCTAAATGTTACTTTGTCTATAAAAGATAATTCTCAATGGCATCCATGTTTTATATTTTCTTCAATGGCGCCACCAATGGTAAAATTAATAATACTTTTGTTTATTATAGTTCATTGAAGGTTATGTTGTCTGTAGATGATTTTTCAATGGTGACCATGTTTTATCATATTTTTCTTCAATGGCGCCACCTATAGTCAAATCAATAATACTTTTGTTTATTATACCCGGTAGTTTACTGAAGGTTAAGTTGTCTGTAAAAGATGATTTTTCAATGGCGACCATAATTTATCATATTTTTTTTTCAATGGTGCCACCTATGGTCAAATTAATAATACTTTTGTTTATTATAGTTCACTGAAGGTTACGTTGTCTACAGAAGATGATTTTTCAATGGTGACCATGTTTTATCATATTTTTCTTCAATGGCGCCAGCTACGGTCAAATCAATAATACTTTTGTTTATTATACCCGGTAGTTTACTGAAGGTTATGTTGTCTGTAAAAAATGATTTTTTTTTAATGGTGACCGTGTTTTATCATATTTATTGAATGAGTGCAATTTTGTTAATATTGAGAATTGTATTGAAAGACAAATATATTTTATGCAACATAACAACTTAGAGAAGAACTTGCAGTCATATACAGAACATGGTCCTTTCAACTTTCAATTGTTGCATTACTGTAAACTTGGTGAAACAAGCTTTTGCAAAAAGTCATTTTCATGCTCTTATATTAATATCAGAAATGGACTTATCTGAAAAAAATGAAAATGAACTTAATTTATGGCACATGTCTGAAGTGCATATTTAACAAAAATAAATATACAAAACGATCAAAACAGCTTTCTACTTTGACGCCAATAGCTGACACAAATTTCATAGTTGACACATATTTGCGAAATTCAAATATGAAATGATTACGCGCATAAGCATCCTCTAATAAAAACAAACATGGCTGCCGCCAGGGTTTGACCGGACTCCACACAAAGAAGTTCCCTGATTCTGTTCTAAACTTTTTGGATTTCGGCATTACAATGATGTATCTTTGGAAGGAAAAGATGTATAATAATAAGGTTATTACGAG